CACAGTACAGGGTGAACAAAAAGAGGTAAAGCAAATGGTGATATGTGGCATTTCTGGAAGACAGTGCCCCCCCTCCCCTGGCGTTTCCTCCTCAAGTACTTAATCTTCTAAATTTAAGCTCTGTTCAGTATTTTTTTCCTTTCCATTTTGAACTATTGATTATTGATGTTGTATATTGGTGTTATATTTAAATTGTTTTATTTTTAAATGCTGTTAGCCGCCCAGAGTGGTCAGTTGACCTGATGGGTGGGATATAAATACAATCAATCAATCAATCAATTAAAAAAATATCCAGGTGGGCTAAACAAGGGGATCCTAGATCAGTGGAGCTCTTCCCAGGTACCCAAAGTGCTCAAACCATTACAAGAGATTATATTTTAAAATACATTTTTGAGTGAACAGTGGTGCCTCGCTTAACGAGCGCCTCGCTGAGCGATGAAATCGCTTAACGAGGCGCTCTGGGCCATCGCTGGAGCATTCGCTCAGCGATGGCCCCTATGGGGATTTTTCGCTTTGCGATATTTGCTAAGCGTTTCGCTTAGCGAATATCGCATAACAAAGCCGGGAGAACAGCTGATCGGCGGTTCCAAAATGGCCGCCGGAAGGTCCGCGCCGCATTTTCACGCCCTGCCCTCGCTTACCAAGGGCGTGAAAATGGCAGCGCTATGGAAGAACATCGCTTAACGGTGAGTTTTAAAGCCATAGGAACGCATTGAACAAAGTTCAATGCGTTTCTATGGCTTTTTTATTCCCATTTAGCGATGTTTTCGCATAGCGAAGGTTAATCCGGAACGGATTAACCTCGCTATGCGAGGCACCACTGTACTGAGTCTGCTGGTGATGTCCTCTTGTTGTTGCTGTAGCCCTCCCTTTTACTGCCTTCTAAAATACTTTGCCAGACCTTATCTGATCAATGAGGCTTAAATAGGCATCTCTTTCCTTCTTCATTTGTAGAATGTCTGCAGCATGTGAAGTATTGGTATTCCATTTTCATTGCCCACAATTACTGCAGGTTTCCTAGTCAATATTCAAGAGTTCTCCTCTTCCTCCTCCTGCTCCCTTCTGCGCTCCAGCAGGCAGACTTCATTAACTTCTGGTTTAATTTTAAAAAGCTAGCGTGGAACTTAGTGGCTCTGCACTTCAAAAGAATCCCACGTCTTATAATTGTGATAGCTTTCCGTCAGCTGCCTCTCTGCTCTGCATTAGTAATGTTGCTGACTTATTGTTTTAGAAGAGGAAGTCCTTGACCTGCTCGGTGGAAAGAATTGTGACTGCTCTGAACCTCAGTGGGTCCTTTAGCTCCCCTCGGTCCCCTGTGAATAATTAGAGGCATTTGAAGGTATTGCTGGAGAAGCCAATTTGTGTCTTTCACTTTGCATATTGTTGAAGCCTCATGAATTAATCATTGGCAGGGCAGAAATTTAGCTTCTTCAGACACACGTTTTGATGGGTCATGAGGGAGAATGTAAAGTGATCTGTAAAATATTCTACTGATCCTCTAAGTATTAAATTATTATGGCTACAGGTTAATTTCAGGGGAAAATCCCCCTCCCTCTCGGAACAGAATGAGGATCTTGTTGTTTCTGTGTACTGTATTCTGAAGAGAAAGAGCTATTCTGTATCCCTGTGGAATGGCATCCAAATCATTTTGTAGCCCTGAGCTTTAAAAATGCTTTTTAACAAGGGCGCTCTTCCATGCCCCCCCCTCAACTGTACTGTGCAGCTGGGGGTGCAGGACTAAACTCATTCTTGCTATTTAGATCTCATAAAAACAAACAGGCTGGTAACTCGCAATAGCCTTAAACCACAGTGCAGTCAGCACCATCTGTGATCCTAATTAATGTTAATATAATGTTCTGCGGCTTGAAAATTCATGTTCTCCCCCCTCACCCCACCCAATAATGTTTAATCTCTTTCCTTTCAGCAAATGAAACGGAGCTAGCATTTTTCTGCATGGATGATTACAGAAAATATAAAGCAAATCCTGTTACCGCTTGGTGAAGACTTTGAAACTTGTGAGGAACATATTTTCTTTCTGTCCCCCCTTTTTTGTGGGGGAGGAGAGAGATTTCCTATTTAAACCCTAATGGTGTGTATCATGTATAATATAGTTTTTAAACAGGAACCTAAAGTACACAAGGGGTAGGGGATAAAAGCTCATTCAATTCCTTTTCAACTGAAAAAACATGAAATGTCAACACTTGTCTCTGTAAAACATTATTTAATGTGATTTACGAATAAAGGGTTAAGAATGCTTATATTGGGTATGGCAGAATTTACATATAACTGCACTGTATTTTTCATAGAAACTTGATGTCAGTGGTTATGAAGCTAGGCTTAAGAGCTAAGATCCAGAACCCCATGCATTTTCCCCCCCAGAAGGCCTGCTTCTGTATTGTGGCTGGTCCTTTAATAGCTCTTCTTCCAATATCCTTTCCCCTGTAAAGAAAAAGAATGAAAACTCATGAAGAGCAAGAGTGGTTGATCTGTGAGCACTGACTCACGCTATATCTTCTCTATTCTGCTTGAATGTACCTGTGGGCTTGCTAAATGCTTTCAGAGCATTAAAAAAAATCAGTGTTTATCAGAATTGTAAGAGAAACCTTGTTCTGAGAAGTTAAGGAAGTGACATTTGATAAGTGTGTGTGTGTGTGTGAATAAAATACAAGTTTTGTTACTTTTTGCTGTATGTACAGCAGAATGTTGACTAAGTGGCCCTTTACCTTGGTGGATGTAGAACAATATGGGAAACCCATGATCTTCAGCAGCTTCTGGGGCAGTAAGAGTCTTAGCACACTCTTTCTTTCCTGGATTTCTGACTGATTGCCACCAACAGGGAAACACCCCCTCCCTGTACCAGGATGGAAATGAGCAGCTCCCCAACATGATGATATTTTGCCATTTTGTTAGTGACCATCTCTATCCATGCTCTGATAAATGTGTGTGTTGCAATAAGTGATGTTTTGGTGCTAAGAATAGCAGCTTGGGCATCAGAATACATCTGTTTGGATCGTGAAAGAATGAATCTCTGTTCAACACGGATGCTTTAAGAATTCAAAGCCTAGAGTGTCTGCCTAGTCTTGTTCTTGAAATGTGGGGAGGCACAGTTGTGGCTCAGACCATTTTTGTAAGTTGATGGCACTTGTGTCTTTGTTGACTTGCACTGTCTTATCTTGCATTAACTTTTTTTTAAAGGTTATTACAATTGTTTCGCTTGGTGCCTGGTATTTCTACAGTGTCCAGTTGTACTCGTCTGTGTCAAAGAACTGAAATAAAACAACTCCTTGACAGGAGAGTTAATGCTGCTATTGTTTGACAAATGCTACAGTGCAGTAGTAGGGGCACTTTGTTGAGCTGAACAAAGCAATTTCTTTTATTCCTGCTTCCTTATTAGGGCTTTCTGAAGTAGCATTCACAGTGTTTTCAGTAGCTCTTATTCGGAGTTGGCTGTTGTCTTTTCACAGGGATACTGAAAGGCACTAACGTGAACTATGTCATGTGAGATTTGTTCACCAAATTTAACCCCCTAACCCACCCCTAGTCTGAATAATCTTCCTTGTCGTACATCTCTCTCTGTCTCTCTGTCTCTTTCTTTCTTTCTTTCTCTCTCTCTCTCTCTCTCTCTCTCTCTCTCACACACACACACACACACACACACACACACAGAGAGAGAGAGAGAGAGAGAGAGAGAGAGAGAGACAGCCATACAGACTACATATGTTCCAGGGCTTTCAGCAAGAGGAATGAGTAAGAAGATCAGACGCCTCAAGTAGGTCTTTCCTAATTTCTGACTTTGGGAGATTACTTCTAGAAGTACAGCTCAGTGGGTTGGGCATCAAATCTCAACTGTGGTTCTCCGACAGGAGCCAGACTTGATGATCCATAGGGTCCCTTCCAGCTCTGCAGTTATAAGATGACGATGATGAACTTCTTCTGGTTCTGTCTCAGCCAGGCAAAGTATTGGAATTTTAAAAGATTCGTATTGCTTAGATCCAAACATTTTGACTAGTATCCTGGTGGCTTTTTAAAACCATGTGTGAAGAAATCAGAATAATATGCCTGGTTCTGCATCCAGCCCTTTGTTGGTTAGCAGTGAGTTCTATGAGTTCCCTTTTGTGCCTGGGAAAAAGTGATGCTTATTGGCCAGAGAATATAATCCCATGAAAAGGCATGGCTCCTTGGGTTCCTTCAGATGCTTACATGAGATTCTAAAGATGGAAGTCACTCATTCATTGATGCTTGATAATGAAGTGAACATCTGAAGTAGAGAGAGAGATGTATCTCCTCATCATACTGTATGTTGGTGATGGTGAATGTGTGGCCTTCCGGATATTGTTGGACTGAGATATCCTCCATTTCCTCACTATAGGCTACAGCTGATGGGGTTGTAGTCCAACATCTGAAGCTACACATTTCTCCCATGCCTCATCCATGTTGTGCAGTTCAGATTAGGATATATATTTAACACTGGATTAGGTCCAAAGAGAGGTCTCAAAGGTTGTAGCACTTCGGAAGTGAATGTTTTTTTCCCCTCACAAAACCTGCTACCAAAATATACAATTTGATCCCTTTTAAAATGCAATTAAGTTAAGGACTGCAGCCCTTGGATAGATAGCCATGTTTTTATGGGTGTATGGGATTTTTTAAAAAAGATTTGTTTGAAAGGTCATACTGGATGTGAGCTTTGCAGATACCCGGGACTGCCAGAAAGACGAATAAGTGGGTCCTAGATCAAATCATGCCTGGACTATCTCTGGAGGCAAAAATGTTGAAATTGAAGCCATCCTACTTTAGGAACATCAAGAGAAGACAGGATTCTCTGGAAAAGACAGTGCTGGAAAGGTGGAACGCAGCAGGAAAAGGAGGAGACCAAAAACAAGATAGATTGACGCCCCAAAGGAAGCCATAGGCTCCAGTTTGCAAGAGGTGAGTAGGGCAGTTGAGGACAGGATACTGTGGAGTTTGCTGATTCATAGGGGCATTGTAAGTTGAATGTGACTTGATGACACGACCCAAAAAACAAAACAAAAACAAAACATGGAAAGTGACTTCTATGGCAGGCAGAATTCAATCTTTAATGCACTTTGGCTTCAAAGTATAAAAATACTTCTGATTTCTAGAATACATGCTGAAGTGAAACTACAGTGGGGTCTTGAAACTACAGTGGGGTCTTGACTTGAGAACTTAATCCATATTGGAAGGCGGTTCTCAAGTCAAAAAGTCTGTAGGTCAAGTCTCCATTATCGGCTATAGGAGAAATTGTCAGGATGGCTTAAAGAAGCATAGCTTTAGCAAGAATCAGTTTAAGGTTAGTAGGAAAACAGGGTAGATAGCAGAGCAAATACTGTCAGAAGGAAAGGACAGGGCCATCACAGAGAATGTTACTCCAGAACTGCTGATGGTGGGGATGGAGGACTGCCTTTTAAACTTCATTACTGGATTTGTGGAAAAAAAATGAGATAGAAATAGTTTTAACAGAAAGGAAGAAAACTCAAAAAGTCTGTAAGTCAAGCCGTCTGTAAGTCAAGGGTCCACTGTAATTGGCTATAGGAGAAATAGTCAGGATAGCTGAAAGAAGCATAGCTTTAGCAAGAATCAACTTATGGTTAGTAGGAAAACAGGGTAGATAGCGGAGCAAATACTGTCAGAAGGAAAGGGCAGGGCCACCACAGAGAATGTTACTCCAGAACTGCTGGTGGTGGGGATGGAGGACTGCCTTTTAATTTTCACTACTGGATTTGTGGGGGAAAAATGACATAGAAATAGTTTTAACAGAAAGGAAGAAAGTGTGATTAGGAAGCCACTTCAATTGAATATGACAGGTTCATAGATTTAATTCTTAGCTTTAGTTGCCTCGGGGACTTTCTGAAACAAGCAACCTCTCGAACTCAGGTGAGGGATGAATTGTGGGGTTGGAGCAGAAAAAGACAAAAGACTTGGGGGTGAGGTTCTTTGCTCTTCTTTCTGTGATACTAATTGATTTTATTCGTTCATTTTATCTTGCTGGAAATAGGTGAATAGTGGGCAAAGGAATAAAGTGTTTTCAGATCACCTTCCTACCCAAGCCAGTCAGTCAGTCCCCAATCTATTCTGCCAACAACCTTACTCAGGCAGAGGGTCAAGGGAAATGCCAGTTCCATGGTTAGTTCTGCCAGTTGATTTGGAAGTAACAGAAAATATGCCTTTTTGCATAGCTTCCTCCCCCTTGGACTTCTAGCATGTCAACACACCCAATATTACTGTCTCATGGCTGCTTACTCTGAGTTGGTGCAAGTGTGCCATTTAGTTGATTGATGTTCCCCAGTGCTCAAAGTCACCCCAAAGCTGTTGGGTGTGAGTAATGAGCACACAGCTTACCAAGAGGAGTTTCTGAAATTCCAATAAGCAGGTATGCTAGCTCAGTGATGTAGATCAGACCCGGAGGGTGAGAGTTCAGTTCCCCATTGCACCTCCTTGAAAGCAGCCAGATGTGATGATCCATAAGGTTCCTTCCAGTTCTGCAGTTCAGAGGTTATTGCCGTATTTTTCTGTGCATAAGACACCCCCATGTATAAGACACTCTCCACTTTTCTTACCCAAAATTTCTTTCTTTGCAAGAAAGTGGAGGGGGAAAGTAATTCCTGCTTCCCCCCTTCATTTTTCGTTGCAAGAAGCAGCTTTCCCCCTCCATGTTTTGCAAACAAAATGGAGAGGAAAAGTGATTCCTGCTTTCCCTCTACATTTTCGTTGCAAACGTTTTGCAGTGAAAATGTAGGGGAAAGCAGGATGCTTTTCCTCTCCATTCTCTTTGCAAAACATGGAGGGGGGAAGCTGCTTTTTACAATGAAAGTGTAGGGGGAAAGCAGGAATCACTTTTCCCCTCCATTTTCTTTGCAAAACGTGAAGCGAGAAAGCAGGGATCAAAGCGC